CATGGCGTCAAAAACTGAGTTCGTCACGTACGGGCTGACCTAATGGAGTTAATGTTGTACATTTTTGAAAAAAAATCGAAAAAAGTTGGATTTAAATAGACGGACGGACAGACGGACAGACGGAGCTCATTGACATAAAGTAACTTTCGTGGTTCTGTCACGCTCCTTCAGTGGCGCACACACCCCCAAACTTTGAACCCCATTATCTCCATGAGCCTGTGCCCCATTCCACTGGGACAAAATTTTGTCGTACTTCTGGTGTCGAGAGGTACACAAATCTGTCACCAGGTAGTGGAATGGGGCACAGGCACAGGTTGAAAAATGGGGACAAAGAGAGCATGTGCCACACCCTTAGATTTCGAAATTTGTGATTTTGAAACCCTTTAAACCACAGTTTTCGATTTATAAAACCTAAGTTAAATGAACATTTTGGTCGAATCTCTTTCCTCTTTTGAGATATTCCATCTCAAGCAATTTCGAAATTCTGAGTATTTTAATCTTTGTGTGGGTGTGGTTTGATCAATTAAGAAACTAAATGCACCAAAAAATTCAGCGAAAAATTAGCAATTAGGTGGGAAAAAACTAGCACATTCTGTGATTTGATGCCGCTTTGGACCAGTCGGAATCCCGTAAACTCGCTCAACAGATTGGACATGCCACGCCCACCGAAACGGAGAAATTAAAACATACCAAGACACAAATTGAAAAACTACGGAAAGAACTAACCAGGGACAGATTCGACAACACAGATACAGAGTAAATTTCAAAAGAAATCTACAGGAGTTGACTGACCAAGATCCAGAAATTGGCGTTCGACTTCGAAAGAGGTCACACGGCGGACGACCAAGACTAGAAGAAGATCAGCCTGAACTACTTAAGGCGATTGTTGAGATTGCCATGTATGGATCCGGAGCAGACGAACGACGTCGTTCGGATACGATTCGAACAGTTCAAACGCTGGATGATTTAACAGCTGAGCTGAAATTACAAGGTTACATGGTACGAATTGCTTTATCAAAATCAGTTAACTTTTAATATAATTTAACATTATTTACTGATTGATACTAGTCAAAATGTATTGATTTGTGTAAAGCTTCAACGTAGTGGAGTGTTTCTTCGCCTGTTACCAAACAACTCACGGACTGCGGAAGGAAAGCGCCACGTAACAACTGTCCCCGTGAAACTTGCAAGATCCACAAATGACCTCCATAAGGAACACAGTGATGCTAAGTTCTGCAAAGCCACGATAAATTTCTGGGAAGAGATTTGTTCGGTTTTGGGGCCCAGCGAGGTCCTATTCATTAGTCAGGATGATCAGGTAATTGGTACCTTCATATTCGGATATAAATATTCATATTCGGCTCAATGGACGTCCATGGAAATTATATTTTTAATTCTAACCAGAGTACCGATTGGCAAGACTGCAGCCAATAAACAGAGTCCATTGCTGATGCACCTAGACTACAGAGTTCGTCTTCCTCATCATGACTGGGTCGTTGCAGATAAGCATAAACTGATTCCTTCAGTTATCCGCGATAATTGAGATCAAATCGAATATGTTTGGAGATCCAAAAGCTGTTACATACGGTGGTCCTACGTTTATTAGCATTCGTAGTGGAAAGCATAGTACCAGCAGCGCTGCATCGCATGCCAGAGATATAGAAACACTTTTAGAAAACGAGGATTTTGTCGAACTGTGCAAGACCAACCCGAACGATATTAAGCCAGTTGTGGTGATTGTTGTCGATGGAGGGCCTGATGAAAATCCACGGTTAATGTCCATCTCAAACGACGTCGTTTGAAATTAAATATATTTCCTAATATTTATTTGTTTCTCAGGTATGAGAAGGTGATGAACGCTGCAATTGGACATTTCAAGAAGTACAATCTCGATGCTCTGTTTATTGCAACAAATGCTCCAGGACGGAGTGCATTCAATCGGGTGGAACGTGGGATGGCCCCACTAAGTAAAGAACTTGCTGGCGTAATTCTTCCCCATGACCATTTCCGGAGCCATTTGGATGATAACGGGAAGACGATGGACATCGAGCTCCAGAAGGAGAACTTCAAACATGCTGGCAAAGTTTTGGCCGAAATTTGGTCAGGTATAGTAATTGATGGGAGTAAAACTGTAGCATGCTACGTCGAGCCGGATGATTCAGAAAAAGAAATCATTAGCTCTTGTGTTGATGCAGACTGGAGTAGTAGACACGTCAGAGAAAGTCACTATTTCTTCCAGGTATTTTGTTTTTTATTCAACGTCGAATATTTTAGAATGATTTGCATATTAATTCAGGTGGTGAAATGTTCAAACTTCGATTGCTGCTTTCAACCACGAAGTTCGTATTTTAAGATTTTAAATCAATTCGTGCCTGCACCGCTGTGTGTCATTCAGGATGGGTTAACAATTAACGACAACTCTAGTGGAATCGACGCTTTCCCTTCAATGATGTTTAGAAAAAATCTCGACGATAACTTCCTTCGTCAAGGAACCAAGAAGGAATTTGCTTTTGATTATTGCTGTCCATCTGTAAAAGACTTACTTCAGCAACGAACATGCCACCTCTGTGGAATATATCACGCGTTAATGAAAAGTCTCAAGAACCATTATAAATTGTGCAAATCCCAGCACACGACGTCGCGTGAGAATATTATTCAAGATATTCCAACAGCTAGTAAACCAATGCGACCAGTTAGGGTTGCTGCGAAAAGGCAAAAGGAAAGGGTGCTGATTTGGAAGTCAAGGTTGAACGACAAGCACATGACGAAGTCATGGGAAACCCCGTAGACCCAGTCCAGCCGCTCCCACCAGCACTGCGCACACCCATTTTTCTGCCGACCACCCCCACATGCTCACCATCACAATATACCAATCAAAGGTCTTACCTGGGGGACTCCTCCTGGCGTAGATCCTCCCGTGCACAGAGTCCGGCGATCCGTCTTCGCCTGATGGCTCAGCTTGTCGTTGCTGGGACGGGTGTGGCAGGGGGTGTCACCGGGCACGCAGGTGGGGGTTATGAGTGGACGAGGCTCACATGGCGGTAAGGCCTTGGGACACACTTCACTTGCCCTGGCACACCCGCGACCCAGATGGAAGAGGATCCAGATGCAGAGCGAGAGAGAGACACGTCGTGCACGGTTGGATGCCAGGGAGGAACTCCATAATAAAGATAATGTAAGATAATAATGAAATTGACAATGGGAATTTTATAAAATGAGACTAAAGTTTGCATGGAAATCTTGTAAAGTGGTACAAAGGTTTGAAGTAAAATTTACTAGATTTAGACCAACTTTTGTTTTTTGCTTATTTTTGTTCGTTTGAATATGCAAAGTATATTGAAAGGAATTTTTCTGCATGCCATGTAGAAAGTTTTAAGTCGGATAATTCATAGGCATCAAGGCTGAATGTGCCAATCTTTTAAAAATCCATTACAGTCTTATCTCCGGATAAAACTGGATTTGCTTACTGGTACAATAATGTACTGATATTAAGGGTTTCATTGCTACAACTTCCAACTTTTTGCATGTAGTTTTCGCACGAATTTATGTGAATTATTATTAATTGCAATATCACCCATCTGATGAAAGACAGTCCAACCGTAATCGTCAACCAAGGGTACACCATTCTGTCACATTCCAACAAACAAACTTTACCAAAAATCTACAACAAAATTCGCAAAAGGTTTATGCAGACTTGATGCCTTGCGATTCCAGGCCCCAAATTAGGGGTGGGCAACCCGGGCGTTATTAACCAGATTCTGATATATCTTGATATTTCCTATATATTCTGACCAATGCTTGTCCCAAGTTGCCCAATTTAAGGTTTATCCGTAATTTTTTAGAATATGTTATTTGATGGCAAGCATTTTTCTAAGCAACACACGGTGCCTTATCCAAATTGGTCTTTGCCACGTCCAAATACTATATGCTGTTAGTCACAATGGTAATAATAGGATTAATTTTAAATTTTAATAGTTAACAAAATGTTCTATTTCTCATTAACAAATTAGATAGATGAAGGATAAAACCAATGCAACTGACTAAAATTACTGTTTAAATTCTTGATTGAAAACAGACTATCCCGCATCATATAGGTTGACGTGTCTAACGAGAGAAACTTTTAGAGTGCCCGGAGCTCCCAGCATAACCATTATGGACATTAGAGGTCTTTTTAAATACTAGTCCTATGATGTGACAAAATCTCCGTGTCAAAATGACATTTGGTCAAGCGGTGACGATTTTAGTGACGTGCTGAACAGTCACTATCGCCACGCGTTTAGTAGCGCAGGTACCCTTTCACCACCCGCTCATCACTCATCTCACTGAAATCTCAACCCATTTACTCATCGAGGACACTGGTACCTAATTTAACTGTATTTACAATATAATTGCAATTTATTTACTATGTATTTACAGCTTGTCAATATTGTGTTTTTCTTTAAAATATGAGTATAAGAATTATGTATAAAAAAATGTCACAACTTTTTATTAATTTAACATATAATATAATTCATAATTCAAGCAAGTGGAGGGATTTGTTCTTCACAGATTTCGAAGTGGGCGTCAGAATGTTATAATTTTAAAACTCAAACGGGAAAAAATAATATTGATAAGCTATAAATGTAAATTACAATAATATTCCAAGTATAGTTAAATTAAGTAACAATGTGCCCAGTGAGTAAATGGGTTGAGATTTCAGTGAGATGAGTGATGAGCGGGTGGTGAAAGTGTACCTGCGCTACTAAACGCATAACGATAGTGACCGTTCCGCGCGTCACCAACATCGTCACTGCTTAACCAAATGTCATTTTGACACGGAGATTTTGTCACATCATAGGACTAGTATTTAAAAAGACCTCTAATGTACATAATGGTTATGCTGGGAGCTCTCGGAAAAGCTTCCCGGGGGGATGATTTCGATTGTATGCTGAAAGTTGTCTCGGATTTACATGAAGAATAAAGCGAATATATCGGAACGGAGATACGAAATTTATCCAAGATTTATTGTTCTTCTGCGTGTATTTTCATTCCGATTATTTTAAATAATAAATCTGTCTCTGATTATGCAGTACACTGTAACTACTGTTAAAAAAAGATTAAATCTTTCAAAACGAAAGTAAATTCTGATAGTTAAATATTTAATTATGTAATGGGACAATATCTACGTAACTTGCCTCGCCCTCAATGCAGAAATAGAATAGAACCTAACGAAACCTAAAAATATAGACAAATTTATCACTAATTTCATAGGAAATATAATTTCTTATCTTGTTCTCATTAGCTTCACCCTCGTATGCGACCTAACCGCTCGTTTAAACGACACTACTGTAAACTATTCAATGTAGTAAAAAAATTTGAAGCGAAAATAGTTTATTATACGTAAATACATAAACCCAAGCTAGTTTAAGTCAATAGTTTATTACCGCTTCGCTCAAGTCGTAATAAGTTATTTCATGAATTTTTACATGGAATTTATTTAAGCTCGTCGAAAATTACCTTAATCCCTGCCATGAATTCTTCACATTGCGGCAAAATTTGATCTGCGGGTAAAAGGACGGTGTATTGACCTTTGTCCCTGAATTCATAGGTCAGATGTATCTTGGCGGATGGGAAATTCAAGTACGCCCAATCCATACTGGTCCCTGGGGCCGGGTCTATTCAAAGACAATTATAAATCGTGAAATTTACTGGACGAAATGATTGTAAAAGCATACGCCAAACATCAAACACACTTCCGGTTGTGTAAATCATGCTATGTGGGATTTGATGGGCTGCCGCGGCCAAATTTGCTATTCTAATCTAGATTAATAAAATATTTACGTTCGTTGGTATTTGTTGTGGCGGAATTGGGTAAAATTTTTGTTAACGTCTATCCGTAAATTAGGTAACGGAAGGAGCATTTTATATAAATTTGTAGAAGGTGATTTTGACTTTAAATCTATCGAATAGGGTAAAATTTTGAGTTAGACAATTTACAAACGGCGGAATACGCACGTACGTATTCATTATATTCCGGTATTTGCGTAGAATCTCGTCCCGTCGGAATTAAAACGTTTTGCCCCCAGCTGTGCAGGCTTATGTAAGCAATAAGGTTGGCACGGATGGAGTCTAAATATTGCGCAATTGCGATGCATTCCAACTCCGTGAAAACGGCGTCTCCAGCGAAATAAAGGTCGCAGGGGTCTTTAGAACCCCCATCGTTTTCTGAAAAATAGAAAATAGATACTGATTGGCCTTCAAGTTATAGAGAGAGTTGGCCCCATAAAATGGACACTTGCTCAAATGCAATAACCTGTGAATCGGTAAATTATAAGTAGAAAGGTTGAAATTTTGAAAACTACTAAAATTTACTAAAATTTCCAATTTTTTATACTATTTTATAGTATGTCCACTACATTGTGACCTTCTTGTCGGAACTAATTAAAAAATTTGGAGAGGAAAAATATGGAGAAAACTCGTGAGGGGTAAGAAAAACAAAGTCTTTGTTGAACCTTACCTAGCCAGTAGGCGTCGAAATTTCTATTCCGATCTACGCCACGGCATCCATTTATTGCCGTTGCGGAAGTGTTTGATCGCGTCTTCCTCCAAAATCTGTCCTACTTAGGAATAATAATGGAATTAGATATTTGTTGTGAACTGTGGCCGCGTTGGGTTAGCCGCCGCGTCTCCCCACGCCGCGTCTCCCCACATTGGTTGGCGAATCTCCCCAACCAATGTGGGGAGATTCTTTGACATGAACAAAGGTCGTCATCCGCGGCCAATGCAGTACAGGGTTAGCAAATAGGTGGGGGGGGGGAATCCAGTATTTTTTGTTTTAAGCGCATAAAGTTGAACTAATTTGAAGTAAATTTGTTTGAACCAATCAAGATTAAGCGAGTTAAGTAATGTGAAAGGTAAATTGATAGTCTACGAGTCGGAAATTGCGTTTGCGAGATTAGACCATTTTAAGAGATTATGCGCTTTAACTAAAAAAACTAAATAGGTCTCCCTTGACATTCATTTGAATTTATACGGTTAAATGAGAGAAAACGAATCCATCCGGGTTAGCCATGGGTAAAATGTGAAAATTAAAATCGTCCAAATAAGCTTGAATCTCAATATCTGGGCTATTCAGGAGTTGATCGATCAAATAGAGCCCGACCGCGGATGAAATCCATTCTCGGGCATGCTAAAATAAGATTCCATTTGAAGAAATAATTAGCTTAAAAATGGCGGTAATAATATTCTTACAATATTAGAATCAATCCATATAATTGGTTTCGTGGTGCTGCCATTGTTAATTTTGAGGAGAAATAAGTCCCTTCCCTCGAACGATTTTCCGATCGTTGTGAGGGTCACGAGGTCAGGATGTCCGACACTTTGAACGGTCAGGTATTGGTTGATCTATTTAAAAAAAGAATTAGCGGGAAAATTAGTTGGTGAGATTTGAATGGAATAGATAAATATGTAAGTTTTTTAACCGAGTCCAAATCGTAGTATGCGTCCCAACTGATATATCCCTCCATTCGTTCTAGTCCTGACCTTTTGAGAACGGATTGACCTATTTTTTAAAAGTATTTATGAGGCAAAGGAATAATTGTTCTTGATAAAATTGTACGATTTGGTTAGGTATACAAATTTGTCTGCCTTCAATAAATTATTTGAAAAAATAATATGGATTGGTTGCAGAAAACTTGAGAGTATTTCGAGGGTACGGATTTCCAGGGAATGTAAGAAATTTAAGACGAGGGTTGCGGGGGAATAAAAATGAGGGAAAAATCTGGGGAAATCTCAAACAATTTTCTGGAATTAGAAAATGATGATTAGAAATATTAGAATTAGAAAGTGAAATTAGAAAATTAGAAATTAGAAAAATTAGAAATTAGAAAAATTAGAAAATAATATTAGAAAATGAATCCCATTTTAAAAGCGGCCTTACCTTCCTACATCAGGATTAGTTAGAAGATGCTCAGTTTCGAATTTTTTCAAAGATTCCAACACAAAATCCAACACTTGTGGGGAAGCAATTACATGGGAATGATCCCCAACAAGAGGATCACCTCCAATAAATGATACCTTAAAAGTAAAAATAGGACATAATTGATTAATAATTATTTTGATTTGAAATTATTACTTTTATTATATTCTAAAAGGTCAAAAAAAATGAAAATTGATTATGGACACATAGAAAAGCGGGCAATGTTTAGTCTTTTGGAAAATTTGACACCATTTTTGTATAGATACGTTCTTCATTGTATGTAAATATTCCGGTAATAAGACAATTACAAGGCGATGACTCAATGTCGTTACGAAGGCACTTATACTGTCTCCGCATGGTAATAGTGTTATTACCAAATTATTTAGAGTGCCCATACCCCTTGATGTTTACCCAGGTCCCTTAAATGATCTTCTTGTCGCTTGGTCTGTGGTGTAACTCTAAGCATGCTGTGCCCATCGTACATGGCACTAGTGGTGAGCCCGATTAAGGTGGAAATAAAACCCACAGTTAGTCCAACTATTGGTAACATAGTTGTTGCGAAGGATAATTAAACCTTGAAATTATTTTTGTACGCGATTCTCTCCTCTAATCGACCGGATCGGAGGACCTGGAAAAGGTAACTAAACTTTACTCAGTATAACGTGTGAAATGTCAGTTATCAGATTTATTTTATCACATTTGCTTGATTATAATGATTAATCAGAAACAGCTCAGTGACTCGATACTGACTAGTTGAATAATGGTGAATTTATGGTGGAGTGCCCATACATACGAACTGAAGAGGGATATGAGGAATTTCTTTGTAATTGATGGCAAAAGGTAAAATTTTTGGGAATCTAGTATGACCAAATTTACGCAGAGACCCTCGACCCATGGAATATTTCGTTAATCTTTATCGGAACGTTTAAATATTTATTGTGTGATAACTTTGGCTATGCACAATCAAGGCAAATCTCTGTTCTGCTGGGATGGGAATGTTAAAGTGAGGATTTAGTTAAGGATTATCACAAATCCAGAGATAGGGTCGTTTCTATCTGCTCTCATTAATTAATCTTTTACGTAATATTACGTAAGCTGAACTCCTATCGCAAATATTTTGATTGTTGGGTTGGGATACCTGTGAATCGTCAGCATTATTTTTACATTCGTGGAACACGATAATGATATCGGCGGAATCAAGAAATTTCTGGATTCTCCCCATTAAATGTTGAGGATTTGAAGAGTGTAATTATGATGATCTCGCACTATTTTGACAGTTGTTGTGCCCTTTTAAATCCTATGAATATGGAGTAGAATACGACGTTTTGCACGCACATTGTAGACGATGTTGTCTTAAATATCAAAAAATGTGGTTCTAAACACTAATTGGCGATAAGTTTACGAAGGTTCAAAACCGTGTTTGTGGTCTAAGCTCAACTGCAATTGCGTAGTAAGGCCCCACACTGGAACGTCCCTTGGTAGGTTTTGGCATAAATTCCCTGGGTACTTTTTCTGGAATATTTTTTCATATTTGAGTATTTGGGCAACAAATACGTGCACTGTAAAAAATATTTAGTGACCACACCCCCTGGGGGGTTGACCACACCCCCTCAGGGGGTGTGGCGCTGAAACTTATTCCAATCGATAGATCTTTGAAAAATAATCCGATTTGGTATATGATACTGACCTGTAGGTCACTCAGGTCTCAAGTTATCGGCGTCCAAAGTTCGAAATTTTGTGTTTTGCGCGCACTTTGCGACTCTGTGGCGCATTCCGCGACAACATTTTAGCGTACTAAGATATGCTATTCCATGCAGCCTACCATTGGGTATAGTCCCAAGAAAAAAAATCCATCCGGACACGCCTAGTTTTGTCGCAGGAATTTTTTGAAAAACGTCAAAAAAAACCGAAATTTGCACACTAAAAAATAATTAAAAAGTAAATTTGGCTTAAACATGAACAAATATTTTCCCATTTGTTTTCCAATTGCCATTATTAAAGAAATTACTTTTTATTCATTTTGTTCATTATAATTTCAAACTTTGTTAAAAATTAATTTATTATATATGTACTCCGCAAATTTCAACAAAAATTTTTAATTTCATAAATTTCATTTTTATTAAATTTAATAAAAAGAAATTTCTTATGGCAATTGGAAAACAAATGGGAAAATATTTGCTCATGTTTAAGTCAAATTTACTTTTTCATTATTTTTTAGTGTGCAAATTTCGGTTTTTTTTGACGTTTTTCAAAAAATTCCTGCGACAAAACTAGGCGTGTCCGGATGGATTTTTTTTCTTGGGACTATACCCAATGGTAGGCTGCATGGAATAGCATATATAAGTACGCTAAAATGTTGTCGCAAAATGCGCCACAGAGTCACAAACTGCGCGCAAAACGCAAAATTTCGAACTTTGGACGCCGATAACTTGAGACCTGAGTGACCTACAGGTCAGTATCATATACCAAATCGGATTAGTTTTCAAAGATCTATCGATTGGAATAAGTTTCAGCGCCACACCCCCGGAGGGGGTGTGGTCAACCCCCCAGGGGGTGTGGTCAACCCCCCAGGGGGTGTGGTCACTAAATATTTTTTACAGTGCACGTATTTGTTGCCCAAATACTCAAATATGAAAAAATATTCCAGAAAAAGTACCCAGGGAATTTATGCCAAAACCTACCAAGGGACGTTCCAGTGTGGGCCCCCGCAACCATTCACTGCAAGCTATACTTACGAAATTATCAATTAGCGATATAAAATTTGTAAATTATTTTTAAGGTAGTATCTCAACGAATAGATAAGTATTTACATCCAAATAAATTTATGTACTCCTTCTACTTCAAACAAATGTTTTATTGTAAAATATTTAATAATCTGTGTTGGACTCGGTTACGCATGTGGACATCAATCTGATCTCATTCTGTCAAAGAATTGGTGGACACTTATGTTCAATTGGCAGGCAAAGGTGATTAATTTGATCAATGCTAAGTAGGATACATACACGGAATATCACGGCCCCATGCCAGGAGACCTCAAACTCGCTGACGTTGGGGATGCTGCTCCTATTGCTGTCAAGCCATACCCACGTAGTTTTGCAGAACAACAATTTATTAATGAACAGGTGCAACTTCTTCTCGACAAAAAAATTATTCGCAAGAGCTCAAGTCCTTGGGCTTCTCAGGTCGTATTGGTTCGCAAACCAGATAATTCCTGGCGATTCTGCGTCGCATATATGAAGATTAATGCCATTGCCAAATCTGATCCTTTCCCTATGTCTTGCATGCAGGATCTCTTCCAAACTTTACATGGTGCAAAATGGTTTTCTACGGCAGATATTCGAGATGGATTTTTTTTATATTCCGCTCCCCGAATCTGAGAAGAAATATACATCATTTGTGACAAACGAGGGGCAATTTGAGTTTGAATTTGTTCCGATGCGAGCTAAAAATAGTCCTCCCCTGTTTTTACGTGTTCTAAATTACGTTTTCAAGGACATGGCCTTTGGTAAATTACGCCACCTTTTCATTTACGTCGATGATCTTTTTTGTTATTCGGGAACTTTTGAGGAGCACCTAATCCACCTGATAAAAATTCTGCTCCGTCTCCGTCGCACCAACCTTGCTCTCAAACCCCCAAAATCATTCTTCGGCTATCAGCGCGTCAAAACTCTGGGGTACATTATTACCCCCGAGGGATTCCTCCCCGACCCTTCCAAACTTTCTTCCATTGAAAACTTTCTCCGTCCCACAAAACCCAAATCATTGCGTTCATTTATTGGTCTATGCTCCTTCTACCGACGTTGGATCCCGGCTTTCTCCGACGTTTGCCGTCCCCTTCATGCCATTTCGGGTACTAATATGCCTTTTGTTTGGACGGAAGATTGTCAGAAAAGTTTCACTCCGCCATCTTCTCACCACCGCTCCCGTGTTGGCCCCCTTCAACCTACATGCACCCATTGAGTTGATGACATATCAATTATAAGTCTATCGTTAATCTTATAATATATTCATAAAACTGATCGCTTTAATATAGAATTCATATTCATTTTAAATGTTTATAAAAGTTTATAAAATAAACTTATAAACTAACCCTAAACTAAACTACTGCCTTATCTGCCCATGTGTCCAAAATTGATTTTAATGGGGTTGCAAGCTGCATGTAGAATAATCAAAAATTAAAATAATATTTACGTAATTATTAAAGAGAGTAATAAGAGTGTACATTAAAAAATGAAATTAGAAGTTCTTTGGCGTCGCCAATATTTGATCGACTTCCTCGCCCTTGTCCCTATGCAGCAGGTGGAATAAGATGCAATAGCATGAACAGGGCGGAAATGTGCGTATCCCAATTGTCTAGAATTTAAACATTATATAGTCACTTATTTTTAGTTCACTCACACCACAATCCACTCATACAAATCTTACATGACTCTTCCAAAAAAAATTTCTTCAAGGCTGGAGATTTGTTGATTTCTGGTCCCCTTTGCAAGATTTTGTGGGCAGCAGATGGCCAGATGTCAAGAAAATTGTTGACAGAAGATTCGTGTATCAGTGAGAACTCAAAATTAATCTGCCAATCATTATATAAAAATAATAAGAATGTTTAAAAAGAATAATGTCAAACCAATGTCCAATTATCCGACTAAATATTTGCTTACCAGATAGTTACAATCTGTAAATTTATTGTAGGTGTTGAGGATGTTAAGCTGGTTCGACAGCGTTAAAGCTGAACGGTGTGGCAGCGTCTCCGTCATCCATTGTTTAATTTCATTTTCGGCTGTCTTCGGACAAAGGCCAGACAGCTTTTGAATTAAAACAAGATACTCTGCCGAATTTTCTGTTACATCCGATCCAACGGCTGCACGTTTTGGCGACGAATCGTCCGTCTTGGGTGTTCCTCGCTTTCTTTGTACTTTTGGCTTATCTTTATTTAGGGATTTGTGAACATGTCGCAGTCTGGCTTGAATCAGGCCACCTCGTCCAAGTTGGTCGAACAAAATATCCTACATTAATTATTTAAATAATTAATTAAAATTAATTAAAAATATAATAACTATTAAAATATATATTTATATCTGACCGTCCCGTCCTTACTACCCGGATAGCGCCACGGAGGAATAACAAGTAGAATTGCTTTCGCAAATATCTTTTGTTCCTTGGATGTTGGCGAAATCATAACACGATTTCCAAATGTTGACTGATTCCAAAAAAAGTACAACTTAATGAATTAAATTAATGACCTACCCCTTTAGCTCAATCAGCTTGGCGACGAGATCTTTGATGAGAATGGATGAATTCTCTGCAGTTACACATCCTTGTTGAATGGAATCCTCGACTAACCGCTCCAGTTTATTATCGTGCTGAATTGTAGTCTCAATTATCTGGAAACAATGAACGTTAGCAATTTAGGATCATCACAACATGCCTTGTATTAATATAGGACATGATTATAATAATGGAACAAATATAAGCACACATAAAGTTGGTTCACCTGTTTAAAATTATTTATCTAGATTCTTCAAAATTGTAGGACGGATATATTTCAGCCGCAACAAGGGGAAGTGCATTGTTACCTGCAAGAATAAATTATTGAATCCCAAATAAATAACACTGCACCAGTACGACGAGGTGTTGAAATATTTACTTACTATGAATAACATGTAATTCTTCCCCAAAGATTTTCAATGTGGGGGTAGGTGTTTTTTGAATTAAATATGGATAAATTTCTTGTCGACCTCAGCCCCATGGTCATCTTCGAATGAAATTTGTGT